GCTTTGAAGAGCACAATTGTGTTCTTCTGGAATTGCTGGGTTCAGCTGAGTTAGCTGGATGAGATAAGAAATAAATTTAACAAAAGAAGTATGTCTAAAAAATTCAGATGTCAAAGTTTCTATGTATTAAAGCCTTAGTATTAAATGTGTAATTCTTCATTTGGTGTCATTAGTCAGCAGTTCACTGTGATTGGGGCAGCTGACCCTGACCCTCGATATCCTTGGCCTTTTCCCTCTCTATCTCTCTCTACTCGGAAAATTACTTGTTTACACTTCTTTCTAGAGGCGTATTCTGTCCAGAATCAGGCTGTTCTCATCAGTTGGAACTGTGTACAATCGGTCCGCTATGGATTATGCTGTCAGCCAGACGACTCAAATCCTTTATGGATAAATTCTCATAACTTTCAAGTCATGCAGGATTTAAATCTACAGCACCAAGCGTGTATCTCCCTGGAGACAGACTAAGGGGTAGAGACTACTCATGCAGTTATTTGCACTCCCCATTTGCACCATCGCTGTGGTGCCTACACTCAAGCCACAGCCATCAAGCAACAGAGCAGGACCATCCCTTTCCTCTGTCCCCTCTTGCCATAACACATCTCAGACCAGCCTGGGTACAACACTGCCCGATTAGGAGCAGAAGAGTTGGAACCAGCAGCTCAGTAGGATCTGGTCAGCCTAACCACAGGGATGCTTCTTCAGTGAGCTCCCACATCTGTCACATTAAAATTGAAGCTTTTTGCTCAGCTTAGATCTCCAGATCCCAAACAAGTTGCAGCATCTGCATATTCTACCAGGGTATATGACTACAGCCAATGTTACGCCAAGCTGGCATAATAAGCAGTCATCTTCTGCTGCTGCAAATTTAAAATCAAATGTCACGTCTTGTCCCCGTTTCTGGATGAAAAGGCCTGTTTGGTCATTGGTTTGCCGTGATGATGCAAACTAAATCTCTAGGTGTATTTCCATCGTTATGTAAGTGATTACAATAAAGTCAACAGAAACGTTGGAAGCGCTTCAGTTTGGTATTTACTTGAGTAAGGGTTTGCACGAGTGTCCTCTGCTGAAATCGGCTCTAATTGAGGCCTACTACTCCCACACCAGTATGTAGCCATACAGCTCAAAATTAAAGAAAACAATCCAGAAGTTCTCAGCTCACCATATTAGAGTATACTACACAGGGTATTTTTAAAACGATTTACTGTTCAGTGTTAGTACAAAATTGAAAACAATGGACACTGCATGGATTCACATTTTCACGTGTATTTCATCCACCTATAAACAGCTACGTACTTTATTCATGTTCCACATGTGTTTAGATGTTAAATATCCCAAATAGCAATGATACAAAATATGTAATTTTTACCTTATTTTTTCAGTACCTTTATTCCACTTTGTATCTCCTTATTGTACACTGGGTAACTCTGTAAGGAGTGAAGAAAATCCAGTTTACTGCCAAGACTGATGTTATAGCCATTGGACCTTGTGGTAGGAGTATGTAAGTCATCAGGTAAAGGGCCTTTTGCTTCAAAAATTGCACATTTTAATTTTTCAAACATTAAATCGAAAGTATTAAAAAGTGATCATTGGGTAAGCTAGATAAGATCTTACATGACCTGCATGTTCCAATGCCTCTATCTCCACAGCAGTCACAAAACCCTGTATGAAGTGGTGGTGTAGGAGCCAATGGGCATAAAACCAGAGAAAAAAGAGGCATCAGTGTTGCTGTGATTACATGCTGGTTCCCACTTGTTCAAATATTCATGGAGATTAGTCAGCCTGATATGCATTGTTTCCATTTCTGCTCCAAAGAAAGTGGTTGCATCCAAGCACAAATCGTTTCTATATACAGTGACTCTGTTACTTTGATTATCACAGAAGCACTGTTTGGATAATCATTTTATTTGTGTAGTTGGGAGTAGAATTATGGCACTCTGTTCTGCTGGAAATTGACTTAATGAAAAATTATTACAGAACACTAAAAAATTATAAAAATAGAATAAACTCCTCTTATCTTCTCAGTTATTGGTTCCTATATTCAGAAGTTCAGGTTATTTTAATGTGTTTGATTAAAACTAACCACAATTAAGATGGCAATCATTTGGCATTAAGAAAAAACATCTAGTTCCCCTTAAGAGAGGAGAAAAAAGATAGTCTGGTTCTGCTACCAACTTCCCTCCAAACCCCCAGCCTCAGTTACTCAAGTTACTTGATTGTGCTTACCTTTAAAAGTTTTTAAATAAATTCAGTAAAAATTGTGGAGGTAACAGAAAACTGATCCCTGCACCAATATTGCGTCTTTTTTTTTTTTTTTTTCAGTAAGAAATTTCAGTATTTCAGTGAGAAATTTTATTATGCCTAAAAATAGTAAAATTGCTGCCTTCACCACTACAAAAAACTCTACCAGCTAAGGCCATGTTCTGCACAAAGGAGTTTGTCTATGGATTACAGAGCAGGACTGTGGCAAAGAAAAAGCCTGGAGGCAGCAAGAACAGAAGAAAGGGTGTACTTAAAGCAAGTTTGGCCTTTTCTCCATACTTTCATCAAAGGAAGGAAATACATTGCTTTTATTGACTGAAACACTGCAGTCAGATTTGCTTTACCTAAATGTTCCCAAAGATCTGACTGTGGGTGTACATCTGCACTTGCAGCTCTGTTACCAAGTCATCAGAAGATCTCGTGGAGCAAAAGGTCAGCAGATATGCAGAACTGAGAAAGATCTGTGAACTTTCCCCTTGCTAAGAAAATGCTGGAGTAATGAAATATTGCAAATAACTGTGGTTTGGCAACACAGCCCTAAGAGCATGCTGTGATACACACAAGCCAGAATGGGAAGTCTGGAGATCAGGATTAAAAAATAAGAAATCCTAAACAAGACGATTTCTTAGCCACTGTATCTTGCCAATATCTTCCTGTCCTGAAAACCCTTTTTATTTTACTGACGAAGTAATCAGCAGCGAAACCAGGCCTACTTTTATTTAGAAACTGAAAGTTAGCTGTACTGCTCTAGTTCAGATGTTGACATCTTCCTGGCTTTGAATTGTGCATTAAAAAAATAAAAGGACCTCTATCCAGATCAGTAGCCTGTCCAGACAGAATCCCAGAATGGTTAAGGTTGGAAGGGACCTCTGGAGACCACCAGGTCTTACCCCCCTGCCAAGCAGAGCCACCCAGAGCACCATTTTCCACACCAGCAGAAATTCTGTTAGGTCCCAGGATTACTCCACATCTTCTTGACCTAACTTTTCAGTCCACTGTGGACACAATTTGGGCAGCCTCCCACGGAAGAAGCGAGCAATGGATGTTACATGGTCATGTCTTGCTGGCCTTGGCATGCTGGGTGTTTTGGATGGCACCTGGAGGTTATGATAAGCAAAGCTGTCTCTCTCAAACCAAAGATACTATTTCTTCACCCTGAAGCTTGCCTTACTATCTAAACATCATCATTGCACTCTGTCCAAAGAGGGCTGTTTTATATCAGTAATGAGACTTAATTTAACTCTGCGTGTGCTGAGTCACAACAAGGTTACGCGGCCTCACAGTGCATGCCTGGGGGAAAGCTGAACTCCTCTGAATGCCTGTAGCATGTTTTCTGAACCTGCTTGTCTCCCACATCTTAAATGATGCTTTGGGATATACCGGTAGACGCAGTCACTTCATTTTTAAAGCGTGAAGAACACGAAGTTGTTTTTTAAGCACTCTGATCTCTCTTTAAGGACTCTGATCTTCCCTCAGTGACTTCAGATACACCACCTTAACCAAACAGGTGAAGCAGCAGCGATAAGGAATTTGGGAGTGAGAAAATACAAACCAACAAACAACCACCCTTACTGCCAATCCCTTGGCATGGCTGCGGCCAGCTCCTGTGGCCAGGCACCACACCAAAGGGCTGAGGGCAGCTGGTTGCATCTCCCAGCACTGCCACAGCCCGACACTGCTCTCCCTTAGCCCTGAGGTGAGGGAAGGCACAGTGGGGAGCCTGGCGAGCTCCCTCCAATACTGTGGGGCTCCCTGCGTGCTTCCCCCTGTACTTGGCTCTGGTGAGGCCACACCTCAAATACTGTGTCCAGTTTTGGGCCCCTCGCTACAAGGACATGGAGGTGCTCAAGTGAGTCCAGAGAAGGACAACGAAGCTGGTGAGGGGTCTGGAGAACAAGGCTTATGAGTCGAGGCTGAGGGAGCTGGGGTTGTTCAGCCTGGTGAAGAGGAGGCTCAGGGGCGACCTTATTGCTCTCCACAGGTACCTTAAAGGAGGGGATTGGTCTGTTCTCCCACATGCCTGGTGACAGGATGAGGGGGAATGGGCTAAAGTTGCCCCAGAGGAGGTTTAGGTTGGATATTATGAAGGACTTCTTTACTGAGAGGGTTGTGAGGTGTTGGAATGGGCAGCCCAGGGAAGTGATGGAGTCACCATCCCTGCAGGTCTTTAAAAGACGTTTAGATGTAGAGCTTAGGGATATGGCTTAGTGGAGGACTGGTTATTGTCAGGTCAGAGGCTGGACTCGGTGACCTTCCAGGTCTCTTCCAAAGTGGACGATTCTGTGATTCTGCGCTCCCCGCTCCCCCCTCACTGCTCTCCGAGCCGCAGAGGCCCCGCCGCCCCCCCTCAGCGCCTCTCCCCGCTCCGGAGGCGGCGCCACGCCGCGGGGCAGGCGGAAGGGAAGGGAAGGGACGGGCTCGGCGGAGCGGCCTCGGGCTCAGCCTCTCCCCTCCCCGGAGCCCCGCTCCCCCCCGCCCCGGCGACCAGCGGCGGCGGCCGGGTGGCTGCCGGGGCCGCCCAGCGCGGCGCAGCCAATGGTGGGCGGTGGGGCGGGCTGCGAGGAGCCGGGCCGCCCGCTGTGGGAGCCCAGCGGCCGGGGGAAGGCAGCCCTCAGTCGGCCGGCGCCGCGGAGGGGGGAGCCGGGCAGCGGCAGCGCCATGAAGGAGCGCCGGGGGGACCCGCGCCGCCGGGCGTGAACCGCCAGGAGGAAGAGGAGGGTGGCGGGGGGGGCTGAGGAAGGATGAGCCGCATGCTGCAGGAGGCGGCCCGCAGGGTGCAGTGGAGCCGGTCGAGCTCCGCCAAGAAGGCTGCGTGCCTGCTGGCCGCCGCCTACGGGCTGCGGCTGCTCTGCCCCGTCATCCGGAGGCGCCTGAGGCGGGCGGGCGAGCAAGATGCCGGCCGGGGGGAGCCGCGGGGAGCCGGCTGCCCCGGCAGAGCCCCCCCGGCGGTGAACGCGGAGTTCTTCAGGCAGCTGCTGGAGCTGCGCAAGCTGTTCTTCCCCAAGCTGGTGAGCGCCGAGCTGGGCTTGCTGTGCCTCCACTCCGTTGCGCTGGTGTCCAGGACCTTCCTCTCCATCTATGTGGCAGCGCTGGACGGGAAGATCGTGAAGAGCATCGTGGAGAAGGAGCCCCGGAGCTTCGTGGTCAAGCTGGTCAAATGGCTGATGATCGCCATCCCGGCCACCTTCGTGAACAGCACCATCCGCTACCTGGAGTGCAAGCTGGCCCTCGCCTTCCGCACGCGCCTGGTGCACCGCGCCTACGAGACCTACTTCGCCAACCAGACCTACTACAAGGTGATCAGCATGGACGGGCGGCTGGCCAACCCCGACCAGTCCCTCACCGAGGACATCATGATGTTCTCGCAGTCGGTGGCGCACCTCTACTCCAACCTCACCAAGCCCATCCTGGATGTCATGCTCACCTCCTACACCCTCATCCGCACGGCGCGGTCCCGGGGCGCCAACCCCATCGGACCCACGGTCCTGGCCGGGCTCGTTGTCTACGCCACGGCCCGCGTGCTCAAAGCCTGCTCGCCCAAGTTCGGCAAGCTGGTGGCTGAGGAGGCGCACAAGAAGGGCTACCTGCGCTTCATGCACTCACGCATCATTGCCAATGTGGAGGAGATCGCTTTCTACCGGGGGCACAAGGTAAGGAGGAGAGAAATCCAAGGGTGCTGGGCTTGCTCCTGCAGTGCCTGAGCTGACCTGGACTTCCCCTGCCGCCCTCTCAGAGCACTTGGAGTCCCTCTGACATTTAAACCTGTTTACAGCTAGCACTTCCCGTTTCCTAGGAAAATGCAGTCTCACAGGCAGTGTCTGAGGGGAGCAGAGCGTAGCTCCCTTATGCTCTGACAGTGTTCCTGTTTTGCAGCCGTACCCTATGCCTTTCTAGAAAGCTAATCGTGGGTATTGTTTTTCCCCCACCCATTGTGTTCCGCTTAACTCTTCCAGGCTTTTTTTTTTTTTTTCTTCCTTGTTTATGAGCTACCAGATTTAATGCTGCCAAAATCAAAACCAAACCACACCGGAAAGTCTAGGGAAAAACTCAGTGATAGTAGAGATCGCTACAACCTTTGACACTCTTTTACATAGCTAAGCAAAGATGTAGTCATCAGAGTCTTAAAATAGCTTAAGTACAGTACTTCAGGAGTCGCAGTTACATAAACTAGTGGCTTGTTTTAAAGCCACCTTACTAAGCAATTCTTCATATTTTATTGGAAGTAAATCTTGGCTATAACAGCTTTCCAACATGATTTGGAAAAGCAAGTGGTGTCATGTAAAGTGAAAATGAAAACTGGAAACTAGCCTGACCTATTACTAACACTTTCAGTGCTAGCAACGATTATATAATGCAAATGGTTTGTTTTGGTAGAAGCAATTGTTCTCTAAAGCTGCCCGTAGTAGTGTTTGAAGTGCAGCTACATTAAACAGTTTCTTCTATTCCCACGTATACTGGCTCGAACAGAACGCATTATGTCACACTGACTTGGAACTATCTTTGACTTGTTAAACCTCTTGGGATAATTCTCTCTTCCTCTAGACTGCTCACAAAAACAAGAAGCATTGCATTTCCGTGATCAGCCCTTGCAAGTCAGAGATAATTGATCCCCAAATGCTTTCCAATTTGGGAAGTTTCAGTTGCTGTGAAACTCTACAGCCGCATCTTCATTAAAAGGATGTAGAATCAATCTTACTTTGCTAGTATCAGCTATAGTGACTGCCTTGTATGTTGTTCCTGTATGTATCGGAGATCTTAAAAGAACTGAAAACTTGCCAGAGGGCCATCCAGGGACAATGATGTAAATAAGAGCCAGGTCTGCTGACTTCCCTAAAGCTGTGTACTTTTGCTGTGAGAATGCAACACTGTGAAGATGAAGTAGCACACAGAAAATGAGATTTAAAAGCCACAACTCTGGATAATTGATTAGCTTCTGCAGATACATGAATGTACTTGTATGGCACATACATCTTTGTTGCATTGTGTAAATGTTTTATTTATTGTTATTTTTTAACTGTAGGTAGAACTGAAACAACTGCAAAAAAGCTACAAGTCTTTGACGGATCAAATGAATCTCATTCTATCCAAACGCTTGTGGTACATCATGATAGAGCAGTTCCTGATGAAATACGTCTGGAGTAGCTGTGGTATGATTATGGTCGCTGTGCCCATCATCACTGCAACAGGATTTGCAGATGGCGGTAATAGCATTTTTACTGATTTCCAGATGTTTCGTTAATACTTCCTCAAAAGACTACTCTTTCCTTAAACGTTGTTCAGATTGATTTACTGTTCACAGACTTTATTACCAGATCCATGCCTCGTGGGTAACTTTCAGGCATAGGAAGTCAGCTGAGGAAGGAGCAGTACAAAAGAAACAGCTTCAAACATAGACCCGATAAACATCATGAATTCAAGACTTAATGGATGCTGGTGTGACGTGAGATTGTAATGACACTCACAGTCCTGTTCACTAGTGGTTGGGATGGCATGCTGATTCTTGCAACATGTACCGCTGTTTTACAAACTGATACTTACGCACATTCCTAGAGAGCTTATCTCCTCATCCCACAAACCATACCGTAATTACAATTAGTTATTCTATTACATGTTGGCCTGTTAGGAACCACTGTTTTCCCCTGACTCACTGAGGGAAGAGGGATGATGTTCATATTTCAGGCCGGCATGGCATCATTTTTGTCATCCTGTCACAACTTCCCAGGAAGTGATACAAGACTCAAGTAATTTGTGATTGCAGATGGTATAAGAACAAGAGAGCAGAAAAAAAGGGTAATTAGGGAGTGGTAATGAAAGACGAGTCAGGGAGTTTGCTTCAAAAGGTTTCCTTATGCACAACTGGAACCACAGAATATATTACAAATTTTCTAGGATTCATTAAGTGTAGATGATACAGTGTAAGCAGAAGGATGCATTCTGTGTTTGATACGTTTAACCAGGAGTGAATGGATTGTTTCCAGTATAGGTCTTGGTCATTACATTCCAAATCCGGGCTGTCCAACTGGGCAAGCTTGGTTTAACCTGCCCACATGTTATTTAGCTGGCTTGCTGTTGTGCCTGCACGTGGCTGGGAGTTCAGCTGCCTGAGCCACTGGCCGTCACATGGCTCAGGAGGGCACTATATCAGGACCAAGGCTGGCATCTGGGTAACAGCTTCAAAAATACCAGGAGGTCCTATTCCCAACAGACTAATTCGTACCAAGGCATTTCACCTCATGCAACTAGTGAAGGCTTTTCAGCACAACAGAGAAGTGATGAATCAGTTTAAGAGTCTGTCTGCTAGCGTGCGAATGAGTACAGTCAAGACCACACAGTGTGAGTATCTCCCTTGTATTAACAGCATGAATTAAAAAATGAAAAAGAATGTCCTTTGCAGGGATTAAGCCACAGTGAAAGTGTATGGAACAAAAGAGCGATAATTAATTTGTGTGCTTGCAAAACTAAGTAACATTCCTGTTACTCATGGATATTCTTTTGATAAGTACTTTTCAAATGTGGGAGAAGAAAAAAGACACAGAGTTAGCTCATGCTGTAAAGCAGCAGAATATTTACTGCCAGCAACATGAAATGTTAAAGCACAGAACTTATTATCAAGCCCTGAGGCATATCATAATGATGCTTCATAAACACATTATTAATGATAAATCAACATCGTCAAGATCAGCTAGAAGTATAACAGCCATTCAAATAATTGAGCAGACATGAACTTTGATCAAACATTGATCTAGCTGGCAAAACAGCGCTTCATGTCTCAGCAGGTCAGAAGCAAGTTGGTTCAGATCTGAAGGACTAGATGGGCTGGATTCATTGCTTTGGAATTGGTATCAAAGTACCAATACCAAATATCAAAACCAGTATCATGATCAGACCTGAGATTTCAGGCATATATAACCTCTCTGCCTTGTTACAGTGCCCCACTTTAAACACAGGAGGCAAGCTGTATGAAAAATGTCTGGGGAAAAAAGTTAGAGAAAAGCAGTCTCGGTGGAATAGGCATATAATGTTAGAGACTGTGTTTCAGAACAGTGAAATGCTCATAAATTCTGTGTAGTTTTAATTTGTCAAATACCCCCAGAATTATGCCTGAAATGACTGATGCAGTGGTTTGTAGAGATCTCCAAACTACTGGGAAATGAGCTAGCCTGGGTGCTGGAAGCAGTGTTAAATAAATTTATCCAAGAGGAATACAGCATCAGTGTAGTTAAGCCATGGGCAATTCCTAAATGACATATTTTTGGTAGTTCTACATACCTTGCATGGGCTGTACTCCCAACAAGACCAGTAAAATTTGGTTCTCTGAGAAGGAAGAAACAAATTTCAATTTAGTTTATAGTAATGAATTAACTAAAGGTTACTCTTCTTGGAGTGAAAATGACATTCCAAATAAGTGAGAACTGCATGGGCAAGAGTTTTGTAATACCTCCTTTCTTTGCAAGAGGTTTTCTGTCTTTTTTTTTTTTAAAAAAAAAAAACATACCTCTCATTGTGTTCCAGGTGGCTGCATGACATGCAACTAGTTGATGGTGTACTGGTGCTGTATAATTTAATCTAGAAAATGGGAACAAGTATCTCACTTGCTAAAAAGTTATAAGCCTATCTGAGGACAGAAAAAGGATTATATAGTGTATACGAACAAATGTATTAAATGAGAAGTTTAAAAAGTTTTCCCTAAATAATCTATAGGCTATTTCAGTGATTCAGATGTAATTATGTAGGGATACCTTTTTGAATGTGTGAATGAAAAAAACACACATTAGAAGTATCTAATGAGGACAGAAAGATACATCTGGCTTTGATACTGCATGCAGATTTCTGGACAGTAGATTTCTACAACCTGATCTTGTCAGTCAAATGAGACAGCTACCAAGAAAAAAAATACTGTTTGCTATTCTCTTGTTCTTAGGTCAGATGAACAGAGAAGCTATGTTTTCAGAGAGAAATATCTTATTTAAACACATGCCTTTAATAATAAAATTACTTATTGCATTCTTACAGAAATACCATGTTGCCAAGTTTGCATCAGTATGAATGTTTCTTTTTAAGTGAGTAAACAAGGCTGAAAACAAATAATTGCAAAACCAGTAAACGTTCTATCAGAAATCTGTTTCAGGTTAGGTTTCACCTTTTCCTATTTTGAAAAATTTCACTTACATCATTATGTATTAAAAGGAAATTATTTAGGTAGACAAACGGTATAAAAGAATAGGATGTTTTGCATAAGAAGATGAATTCCTTATATTCCCACTTATTTTTTGTTCCCAAGCTATCTACGCTAATTGCATTCACCAAATGTTTCCAAAGGCTGGTTTTTGTAGAGTTAATTTTTTCTTAATTTAAAAGCTGCTTTATAATTGCTCACATTTTAATCATTATTTTGTAGAGATAATTTTCAGAAGAATATCTAACATTTTTTTAATTTTTTACTTTTAGAGATTGAAGATGGCCAGAAACAGCCAACGGTTAGTGAAAGAACAGAAACTTTTACCACGTCACGAAACCTGCTGATCTCTGCTGCAGATGCTATTGAAAGGATCATGTCTTCATACAAAGAGGTATCGTACATCAGTCAAATGCAAACCAGAAAGGAAATAAAAACAAAACAGGATTTACATCTAATGTAAAATTAAACAATAGAAAGTATGTTATTTTTAAGGAAAATTCTACTGCAACTAAATCCATGGAGATCTTTGAAATGATTAAAGTTTGGTCTTTAGATTTAAGTCCACAAAGAGTCAAAAGTGCACAGCTGCCAGTATGATGCAACACATAAATGTAATTTGTTGTACCTGTCCTCAGGTGTCATCAGAGTACAGTTCCTGGAATCTGAGTGATAAGGGTTCATTCAGATTCCTCCTCTGTTCAGAGCACAGACCTGCGTTCAGGTTGTCCTCCTGTAAGAAAAGTATATGGAATGCAAAAATAATTGAATAATTATAAAAAATGCATATAGATGCATTATGCATATGCATACATGCATATATAAATAAATATTAAAAATGCAAAAAATAATTGAATTCTTATTTTCTGACCACCTAAACCATAGAGCCAATTTTAGTATTTTCTGAACCTGTTAAATTTGAAATAATTTTGCAAAGTAGAGAAATTTTAGCAGGAAGAAAGTCCACCTTAGGACTGCAGGTAGCCAGGAATACAGGATGTTCATCTGGAGGATCAGAGGTGGTTCAGGACATCACCCCAATTCTAGTCAAGTTGGACTTTCATCTGTGTTCTCTCTGGGCGATTTCTCTAGGTGCAGACTGTTAAGCAGAGGAAAAGCTGTGTCATTCTCCTCAACATTGCCTTCTACATTTGGTTCTGTGTTTGTTTAGCTGGTTTTTGCTCATCCTTTTGGTGGGATCCCCTTTTCTGGGAGGAGGCGCACATTAGCTGGGCAGCTAATCAAAGACTATGGATTCCATTACTTGGAATCCAGCCATAATAGCTGCAGCTTTTTAAATTGGGAGACGAGAGGTAGTTTGGCGCCTTCAAACACAGTCTCTGACAAAGCCAGAGCCTGTCTTTCTTTTTTTTTTTCACAAAGTGTTCTTCTCTAATGGACTGTGATTTTGACCTGTGCTGCTATAGCTGTGTCCCTTCTTGACCTCTGCTCTTATGAGACTGCCAGATAACCTATTATGCACTGATGTTATTCTACTTTATTTTCAATAATTTAGTCATTTATATAATGTACATGGGGACTTACAAACATTGTGGTTTCATTTTTTGGAAACAAAAATCCTTGCAAAGTAGTAGCAACAGCTGAGCAAACTCATTTGTTTTACCACGTGGTGAAATTTTAATCCAGGCAGTGTGTGATTAAAAATCACTTCTTAGAACTTCCATCTTAATTTTACATTTATACTTTTCTTCAAGAAATATGGCAGAAATTCAGGCAGTTTCCAAAAAATGACAGTAAGCTTCATTCCACTGATAGTGGTAGTGAGGCTCCAGTTCTTACCCACCTTATCCACCACAGCAGCCTTCTTCCAGTCAGTGTTGCTCAGTTTGCAGGTGAGGTTGGCTCAACTTTTGTTTGCAGGGCAATAGTTTTGGTAGCACTTTGTGTTTTGACAAAGTGAGGTTGTAGAATCGTGGTTTAGAAACTTGCTACAGGTTATATTTCTTGTGGGGTGCTGTTGGTTCACAATTTCATTCATCAATGCAGGATTTTCTCCATCAAGCATCACTGCTATTTGCTAGAAGGGTTACCATTGAATTCACTGCTAGAAGGGCTACAGTGTGGAGAACAATGTTACAGCTCCTACAGCCTCAGGTGCTGTTAGCTCAGTACTTTTCCCACCTGTAAATGCAATTACCAATAGTGCAAGACAATGTCCAAGTGATGGAGTTGAAACAGTGGCTGATTACTTTCTTAAAACTGAGTTTTTTGAGATGTTGTAGCCAGTTCATCTCCAGTGGCGTGATGGCCCTGCCTGGTACTCACTTCTGAATCTTGCACAAACAGTGAAATTTGCACAGGATTGTATCTTGTTCTTCCTATTTTGTTTTCTGCATTTAGTATAAAAATCTACCTGTTTAAAATCATCTAAACATACCTACATAATAAGATGCCCAGGTTTAATTCTTTGCTGCCGGCAGATGGAGGCAGTTCTTTGGGAGTTCTTGGCGGTGTCAGTGCCTATGAACAAGAAACCACCAGGACCAGAGACCTGTTCTTTCTGTATTCACCAGGTGGTCACAGAGATAAAAGGATTTTAAAAATGAGGAAGCCCTTTAAGAGACCTCACCATTTAAAAAATTACCAGTTGTAATCCAGGGTCTCAGATTTAGCTCTGGTGCTCTGGCATGCAGCTGATAGGAGAGTCCTTTCTTTTCTGTACTGTATTTTACATTAGCGTGTGCCCTGGTGCTACCTGTTTTACAAAGGAAAAGCACGCCTGTCTCACAGGGGGTTTAGGGAACACAGGGAAATGAGTAATTATGGGTGTATATTTTTCTCACTGCTGTTGGCCTTGATTTGCCTGGGAAATGCAGATATTTTGTTTTTCTTCTGTATGATAGGCTATTTTCAGCTACCTAACAGCTATCCTCCACAGGCTGAAGTCTGTACTGATCAGTGGAAAAGAGCAGTCCCTGCAACCTCCTCATTTACTGGAGCTGTAGGAAATTACACTGGCTGAAATCCGTCCCCCTCAAACTGTGTTTGCTGACTGGTAGGAGCTGTGGGTGGCATTTGGGCTAGCACAGAATCTCAACAGAGGCAAATTGATAGGCGATGAAAGATGCATCATTGATCCCTCCAGAATAGCATCTGAGAAGCAGTGACTTAGAATAGCTGCAAATGGTTTTCATGAGTCTTTGGCTAAGCATCTAATTTATTGAATTTGGGACGTGTGACTGAAATGAGGCATTTACTGTTTTGCAGGTTACTGAGTTAGCAGGATACACTGCCCGTGTCTACAACATGTTTGCTGTTTTCGACGAGGTGAAGAGAGGCATCTACAAAAGAACTGCCGTTATTCAGGAGTCTGAAAACAACAGTAAAAATGAAGATAAAACAGTGTTACACATCAATGGGCCCTTAGAAATCAAGGGTAATTAAGTCACATTTTTATAGATTTCTCGGGGGGGAATTCCTGGCTGGTACAACAGGGCCATAGTTGAACAGAGGTTTTGTTTCTGCAGCAAGTCAACCTCCAGAGACCATGTTGCCTTCTATTCTATCTTCCTGCTGTTTTGTAACCCTGTGCTTATTTAGTGCTTTTCTAAAACACTTCCACAAAGATTGTTCAAGTATATTCTGTGAAAACTTTCAGTGAAAAAGGTATTTCAACTATACCATTAGTGGTGGTGGTTGTGCTGGTGGTATTAGTATCTTCACAGGGACAGTGCCTGCTTTCCTCTGACATTTTTTTTTCCCCAGAAAACTGAGACTGTAACATTTTCATCCCCATACACCACATTGTTTTGTTTGGGGTAGGAGGGATAATAATAATTTGTTTTCAGCTAGTATTAGCCTTTGCTCATTTTTTCATCATTTAGTGGTAGTTGTCAACTGGAAATGGGCTGGCAACTTTACCATTGCCCCCATCTCCCAAATGATCTGATCAATATGAATATGCAGTTCCCCCTCACAATTCTTCCTGTCTCTATCCTGTATCCTTTTAGTGCCACTGTTTTTCTATCTGCACTGTCTGTGTACCATCTCTCTCCTTTTTTCTCTGAGGTACATCATACAGGTTTTTCAATGAGCTTTTCCTAATTTTCCCAACAGCCCCCTTCTGCTTTCCATCTCTTCTTTGGTGTTGGAAAGCCTCCTTCCCACCTTCTGGCCTCTGAAAGCTAAAATATCAGTTGAGTTGAAGGCACCAGAATGCTCTTTATGAAATATTTTTTTTACAATTTCAGCAGCATTGCCCTTCAGCACAAATTTCTCAATGGTCCTCTGAGAAGGTTCTTCAAAACAAACAGTCTGATGCAGCATAATAGATAGCTGTGGAAACAGCTGATGTCTTAATCTTGTAAATCTTGGTAATATTTGGCTGGCACTAAAAGAAATGACATCTTATAGAAAAAAGGGTTTTAAGTCCATTTGGAACAACAAAGTCATTTTGAGACCATTTTAGATATGTTTTTTAAAAACAAAAGCAAATACATTCGTGTGTGACAGAATGCTGTTTGTGTTCCCTCTTGGTTTAGTACAGTAATACGCTGCTCCTTTTTTTTTCTACAGCCTTTTCCTGAGGTCTGATTCCTCCACAGAGGCACATTTCATCTGGCTTGAATTCCTCTTAAGTTGCACTGACTAGTGTTTGCTACCGAGTGCTTGCAGGCTCTCAGAGGCAGCTAGCCAATGCAAAACATTAGGACACAAGGACTTAGACGGAATTTAGGCCAGATGAATCTAGGCCACAGGTTCCATATTATTTTTATGACAAGTTCCATTGTGTACTGGTTTTCCTCCTGTCTTTCAGTCTCGATACTTCAGAAATCCCTGCAGAGTGGATTTATGTGAGGATAAAAGTACACGTGCTCACAGTGTGTACCTCTCCAGTGTTAGAAAAGAAAAATTGTAGTGTATTCAGCTTCTCCAAAGGCTTTTTCAACACGTATTCTTTTTAAATCATCCAATGTAAACTTTTGTACCTAAATAATGCCTGTGCTGTGTGCCTTGCATTCACTATTGTCAATAAGACCAGTGTGAAAATAGAAAAAACATCAGAATATTTTAACAGACCATAATACCACTATATATGTTGCATATCTAACAACTCCGAATTTTCAAGTTGAAATATCCTGGTGTACGTCTTGCAGAAGTACTGGCAAATTGTATTTCTGATTATATACACCAAGCTTTAAAGGCATGCTAAGCTTGCAGTCAAACACTCTGAAGTTGGGAAATGAGAATTAAGTTTTCTTAATATTCAATTGGCTTACTATTTTGTATCATAGCCTTTTTTATTTATTTATTTACAATTTCTCTCCTGTACCCAAGTGCTCAAAAATATGCATGAATTTTGCAGAATTTGCTTGAGATTGTCTCCACAGAAAATTATCCCTCATATAGGCAAATAAATGCTTACTCCAGTGGATGTATGCATGTGGAGTGACTGGTACGGCCCTCTTTTACAAAAGTATGTCTTGGCCAAATCTGTCAAAATCTGTGATGTGGTTGATCTCTGAGTTGCATACGAGGTGCCTTTGAGGAGTCTGAAGGCAGTAGAGCCTGCTATGATAAAGCTGCATTTTTTTTTCAACAGCAAAGCACATTTGTTTTCCATAATTTCATGTTGAACACCTCAGAACTGTTATAAATAGAACTTACTTTAGGAAAAAAAGAACATTTGGGCTGATACATGACACACAAATTTTTGCCCAGTTTGTTATAGTTTGACAAAGTTTGACGAACTTGAACAAAGAGCCTCCTAAAGGAAAACTAAGACTTTACGTTACCCGAAGGGAGAACTACCAGATCCCTTTATAATAAACTCAACTTTTCTTTAATTCATTTTTTCTTTATTCAGATTAGTCCAAGTTTTAAAATGTGCAGCCTTCTAATACGGAGGGAGATCTTTTTTTCTTTGCATCTTGTGCGTAATTTCTGGTACTTGTCTTGGAACCCAGCTGTTGGGTTCTGTGAGACAAATCCTTCTGCAGGCAACCAAGAAGGTAGAGTTGATTTCTTTTTTAATTATTCCCAGAAGAATTTGTTTCCAAGTCCATGTGTTAAATACATCCAAATGTCTGATGGGTGTTGTATATTTAAATTTGCCACTAGCCCAGATAGTAAATATAGCTATTGGAGTGAACTAATATTATAGAGGTTTCCACAAATACTTGGAGACTTTTACACTGTCTGTTGCTTCAAAAAGAGATGGAAGCAAGCCATTAAATATTTTATCTATTGCTCTTGTTGCTGGAGGAGGCTGAACTGGGCTTTCAGTTTCAGAGCGGGTAGCTAAAGGAGATTCCATTTTCCAATGAAATCTCCAGCAGGAGGTGAACCAGACTGCCTGTGTCTAAGGCTATCCTTGAACTTCTTTACTGATTGATAACGAACACCTATTTAAAACAAAATACAACAAAAACAGGTAGGATGTGAATAAATGTCTCTTTGTAGTGAATTATATATTTCTAATGCATATTGTACATTTCTTTTATAATGAAATTTTGGATCCATTACACACTTTTGGCTAATACTGACCATGTCTTTCTGACCACCTAAGATATATTACCTGGATTTTTTATGCAAGTTGAAACCCACCAGTTTAGACTGTTTAGCTGTGCATGAAGGCTGCAAGATATTGCTTAATGGGAGGTTTCAAAAACATTAAACATTGCTGTTGTGTTTTTTTTTTTTTCTAGGAAAAGTTATTGATGTTGAACATGGAATTATTTGTGAAAATGTTCCTATTATTACTCCGAATGGCGATGTGGTGGTTTCCAGACTAAACTTCAAAGTAAGATGATATGCAAGAATCTTCTGATTGTTGCCATCCCATTAACATAAACAGCACAGAATTCATGTACCTTATGTTAAGTACTTGGAGGAGCATATGGATAAAAGGGGAAGTCCAGAAAGGTAGGCATAGTAGCTCGACAGAGGCAGACATGTGTAGTTTATCCTGCACAAAGAAGGAGAAGAGAGGATTTCTGCTGCTGTTGCCAGCTGAAAAAGGAGACCTGGGATTTTCAAGAGCATATATGAGAATGTGCATCCATTTTACTTGATCTCGGTAAAATTGGGATGCTTTAGTCACATGGGCTCCTTTTAAGGTCTGAGTTCACAGCAACAGTGAAAAAATGTAGTATGTAGTTAGCTTTAGCTGATGATCACAAAGAGCAGTACTAATAGTTGAATCACAAAGAGCAGTACTAATAGTTGACAGTATAGTTCACAAGCCTTTACTCGGTGAAAGTGGAGTCTTTACTCTTTAAAAACTTGGATTGTTTTTAAAAAGCTTTTGCAGATAACACTCGGTACATGCTTGTGATTTTAATTGTTGACCTTTACTGAATTACTCCCATGCATATCCTGATGTACCAGTGCAGATGTTACTATTTTTAAAAATGGTTGAAATTACTGGAACTCTAACTTGAATAATTCCATCAGGTCTTTTATTTTAGTTAAAGCAGAGTGTTCCTCTTGTCACCTCTATGCAGTACAGGCATTAGAAACTAGAAGGACAGGGGCCTACTTATGGCAGGGCTTCCTATGGCTCCAGTGTAGGAATTTCAGAATTGTAAAATTACAACTCTACAGTCAAGGAAACAGTTTTATTTATTTATTTGTTCAGCAGTCAGTATTTATTTATTTATTCAGCAGACAAAACCAACAAAAAATATAATGTTACAGTCAGTATATTTATATAAAACATTGACGTGATTATGCATAAATATATACTCCTATGTACACATGTTAATATGTAAGTGAATAAAACCAAGTGTATTGCACCCAAAATAACACTGGTAATTAAGTAGGAAAGGACAACATGAAGTAATTTTTCCAAATCATTTGATCTTTGCGTAGCTTAAATTAGTATTAGTGATAGGCATAGTACTGCTCTGTATGCCATCAATAACTTTGGACCTGATCCACATTAGAATAATTGATTCTGACTGTGATGTATTGATCTTTTGATATAATTAGCATACCGTATAGAAACACTCGGACATTATAGAAGTTATTTTCATTATTATAGCTAATTCCACTGTTTCTAGAATGTTTGCATAAAAAAATGTGCAGGTGATTAATGAAAAGGGTTGATAATTTGATATAAATGCTTGCATACCTCCCTCTAGGGTTCTTAGAGCACCTTGTGTCATAGCCACTGCACAGTAACATCTTTTCATTTTCATTATTATTGTAGGTAGAGGAAGGCATGAATCTTCTAATCACTGGTCCTAATGGCTGTGGAAAGAGTTCGCTTTTCAGAATTCTAAGCGGTTTGTGGCCTGTGTATGAAGGAGTTCTCTACAAACCACCTCCGCAGCATATGTTTTATATACCACAAAGGTATGTGTTTTGCTCAAAGTTATACCTTTTCTTTTTTTTTTTCTGGTTATATGAATTTTGACCCTGCTTCTCATATTTCCCATCTGTGATATCTAGAGTCCAGTTATAAGGTGGTGAGCACCACCTCAGCTGTACCGAGAGCTAAAAGAAGAGAGTACTTTTTGTTGGTGATGCAAACCTTTAGTCGCTGAGAAGGGATAGCTCACATACTGTTGTGATGGACACTATGCTTCCCTGATGGCTAAAGAGTCCCTTAGGATTGGGATCAAGGGAACTGACTAGAATCAGGGGATCAAGGGAACTGACTAGAATCTGAAACTAATTTAAAATAGACTTAATTAATCTTAATTCTGATTTCATTTTAAAATCAAAGATTAAAATAACTGAGAGTGTTTTGGTTCCCAAATTTTGAATTGTTCATAATAATGGTGAAAACTTCAGCTTTTCAGCTTTTACACTGCAAGACAAGAATCCAATCTGATATTAATGGCAAATTGCCTTTTTCATAATGTAGGTTCATTTCACTAAAGGGAAACGGCTTTTTTATGCTTCGTTTGTGCTCTGACATGCTATTGGACATAATTTAATGCAGTTGATCTTGAATATCTCCTCAGAGACTTCTAACTAGGTTGTTTTGTGAAAGCAAAATCAAACACTGAGAATCTTTGATTGCTTTCTGTAGTTCATTTCTTCCCATGGGCAAAAGAAGTATTCATGGCACAGTTTGTAGTCTTGTTTAAAAAGTACAAGTTATTAAGCTGAATGGAAAACATTAACTGATGAATAGATTTTCCTTGCCGCAGTAGAAGGTAATGCAGACAATTTATCTATAATTTTTTCAAATTTATGTATAATTTACTGTCAGCTACTGTCATCGGAGTTCTACACAGAGAAAATTTTGAAATTGTGGTACATCACATATAATGTTCTAGACTCTCCTACAAAGCATTACATTATTTGAATGCTACTGCCTAGAAAATAAATTTTGTTTTCAAGTTAGACAACAAAAGTAAATTGTACATATATTTTTACCTATCTACACGCAGTCTTCCTAACAAAAAATCTAGAGGACTTGATTATGAAATAGAGACATGGAGTTGGAAGGTGAAGTATGTGAGGTTTCTTCTTTAGTACCATTATTTTATGGCTCTCGTGTTAGCTCTAAAGCCATAGATTTCTACACCTGTGTCTTCATGAAGTACAGCCTTTCATTAACACCTTTGCAAGAACCACAGCATTCTGAGTTTATGGCAAGTTGTTACGTGTTTTGCAGTTTAATTCTTATTTTTTGTCCCAGGTTTATACCTGTACAAATGTCTCCTCTTTGAGGTACAGTGGTGTACATAATTCATGGTTAACAAGAAGAAAAACGTGTGTAGAAAGATACTGCATGGCATATTTCATCATATGTTTGTCTGAGAAAGTTACTTGCATGTTTTAAGTTGATAATTACTGGGTATCTGCCATTCTGAGCTTGCAGTTATAAGGGAGATATAAATAAGATGGTACATAAAACTAACAGGTTAATTAAGTACATTAGTGTCTAAAAGGTGCTTACAAAATACGACTGATTATTTTTATTCTCTTCAATTAATTGTTATAAGGCATTTGGGACATAATCTTTTTTTATTCTGTTACCTTTGAAATGACTAGTGTGAAGCAGCTCTGAGTAATAATTAGCTGTAATTTTCAGAGGATAGAATGTTTGTGGAAAACTATTTTTCCTTAGTATTTTGGAAAGAGTTATGATTCAAATTTTTTATTCCTGACTGACGGATGCATGCAGAAATCAAATTCCATATTATTGAAGTGTCTGTTAATGTTGGATGATCAGTTTGAAATGTACAGGGCTCTTATTCACTGATTATTCAAGTCTTCTACATGTATAACACATTTTTTATTAAGATCTGATAATTCCAGCTGGATTTGTGAATGCTCAGCTTTTCTAGAAGTCTGGTCCTATGTTCATCACACCTGCAGAAAACAGAGATTGCAGATAGTGACCAGTTGTGGACATTTTGGTTTAAGTGACCTGGCCAGCTTTTACTCTGTAGAGAAATCAGAACTAAAGAGATGTGAGGGACAACGTTCACTAGCATCACCATTGTGGGACAGACTGAACACTGACTTGTCAGTTTCTGAGCAGCTTGAGGGCTTCATTCAGGTAGCTGAAGCAAAATGCTTTATTAATTTTTTCAGAACAGTGTTTCAGAATTCCTGTTGTGTGAGATGCTTCTAAAGTCATTATTTTTCATAGGTGGAACAAAAACTATTCTGAATGTTTTCCTGTTGCAGAAAATTTTGAATTTCAACCAATTCTGTTCTCTGTGTGATCCTAGCTCCGTCCCAGAGCAACATCTGAGGCCTTCAGCCCTCCCCACTGATGTCCCCTTTACCCTCAGAGAATCAGTAGACTCATGGTGTTCGGGCAGATTTGCCATCGTGCTGGTTGAGGGGATTGAATCCCACCTGCTGGGGTTTGGTTTCCATAAACGTGGTTCACTCTAGCTGTTCCCTCTAACTTTGGGGTGCTGGAGGAGTTTGCTCCAGCACACCTGTTCATTTCAGATCTCTTGGTCAGAAACCAAGATTCAGCCAGCATCTCTGCAGCCTTGTGTGACTGAAGCCGTGTGGAGACTGGCATATCACCCTAGCAGGGGACCCCGAAGGTGTCAATCCAGTGCAGTCCATCCTAATACCATCCCCCAGGAGAAAGGGTGCATCCGAGTGACATTGTCATGCCTTGGCTCTGCATGAGCTCTGCACTCCTGGAAGATTTTTTAGGGGTATTCCCTGCTCAGAGGGCAGCAGTGAGGGACAGAGAGGAGAGAGGGCTCTTTTGACAAGAGTGCCCCATGTTGTGGCTGAATATTTTGAAGTCTGCTTTGGTGGAGGGCTCAGCTGTCTCGGTGTCGGTTCTGTGGGCTCAGAAGCATGGCCTGTCGCTTTTAAGCGCCTCGTATTTCGAAAGGGACTGCGAGACTTAGTCTTGGAGGGATTTGTGTGTCAGTGTGACTGAGTGCAACGAAGGGGTTGGCAGAGGACAGCCATCAGATGACTGTGAGGATTCTGAGCTGCTGCTTTTTGCTCAACGTATTTGCTTGCTGGGCTTTGCGAGCCTTGGCCGAATATCTGATGAAAGGTTTGAGCAGCTGAGGAAGAAGGGCAGGGTCTGGATCCACCCTCTTTCCAAACAGGTGGAGTTTGTTGAAACATCTGGGAAGTATGGACCCGGATTGTGCTCAAGGTTGGGGGAGGGAAGGAGTAGCATTCTTCAAGGTGGTGCACAAGTCTGAAACAGCTGCTGGAGACCACTGCACAGAGCAGATACACCAAGGAGAGACTTGAAGGAGATCCAGTTTTAAACTGAGGTTTATACATTTCAGGAGATTGCCTTATTTGGTCCTGGCAATTTTTGTTGCCTTTATTCCACTTCAAAGTGTTTTTTTAACAGCTCATTTATTTGTGGCCTATATAAATTACACATTTAGTTGTTGGTTTTTTTTTGTCTGTCCCTGGCTCCAAATTACATGTAGAATTTCTGCAGTGGTTACTAAATCATTGTGAAGTCCTGAAATTAAAGCAGCTTGTGATGGAAGTTCACACTGGTGCAACCATTTTGCTTATTAACCCTGTACAAATTGCTGCTTGGTCAAAACTTTCTGTTTGTTTGTTTAGAAATAACTTTAAAATTGCAGACTGGAAAAGATGGTGCCCTGCCTCCATTTCATCATCTACATCTTGCAGTGCTACTTTAGAGAAAATTTGGGCTCCAGATTAGGAGGATTTGGGAGGTGGTAAGACGGTATCACCTGGTAAGGTATCATCTACCCCACGCTTTCATTTGGTGGGTAAACGAAACTGGGACATAGCAAAAGGCTTTCAGGTTGATGGATGTCTTATTAGAGCAGTGAAATAGGACAACATGTGTAATTGTGTACATGTCTCTGTTGCAAGGACATGGGAGATGGCTCTCCGTGAATCAATATCGTTACAGCTGAGCCTGGTGAGAGCTGCTTCATCTCTGCCTGTGGCTGAACGTAATTCTGCATCAGCCTTCTTGGCCTCTTCAAGTCGTATGCACTAACCTCATCTGCACATGGGGACTGGTGGAAAATACAGTGACTGCCAAGTCACAAAATACTCCGCAGTAAATAGGAGCTCACTGAAAAGATTATTGTTTCATCTCTGCTCGAAACATCACAGTGTTTGTAGAATTGCAAAAATGCGTGGGAAACCATGTCTTTGCCAAGTTCAAAGGCTACACACAGAAGTATGAGTTATTAAAGAGTGAATTATCTCATTGCATGCTCCGAAGTTTATCACCAGTGCCAACACTTTGTAGTTAGCTTTACCTAGCATTATATAGGCTTTAAAACAGAGCCTTAAGAGTCCCTATTTTATCTCCTTAGAGTGGTTAGCATCGTTACTCTGCTGCTTTTGATTTTACCTCTCTGAAGTCATATTAGATATTTTTTTCTCCCCTTACACAGGGACAAGGCCTGTAGAATTTGGCCTTAATCAATCACAGTTCTGATGGATATTGATGAGACAAACTGCCCTTTTGGGGAGCAGGGAGAGAGAAGCCCAGGGATTTTTGTGAGCATGACTGCCACTGTCTGTGATATGCCTGTAAAAGAGGTGGGCGAAAGGGAGGGAGACTTTCTGTCTTCCCTTTAAGCAGTCCAGCATCATATTGGTGACAAACGCAGCTCATTCTGAGGAATGGACTAATGTTATGGTATGATGAGAATGATTTGTCACAGAGTCACATGATTTGTCAGAGGAATGCTTGGGGGTGCTCTAGTTGGTAAGGAATCACAATTCAAATCAGAATTCAGAAGCATTATTTTAAATAACATATTTTTTTCATAACACATCAGCAGCATATGTGAAGGTGGTCTGATTTCTCCAAGCTGTGCCCTGTTCCTACTCTATTTACCTTAAACATGGGATGACAGGAATTAGTGAGCTTTAGCATACAGTTCCTCCTAACACAC